ATCAGACTCCACAAAATCACAGGAATTGTGCCTCCCCCAAACTCACCGATGTCTCTTTGGGTTTTCTAACAGAAAACGTAAACAGCAGTCACCTTTAACAACTTCATATCCGAAGCGTAAAACATCATTGTTTTCAACACCTCTGGCTACTTCAACGCTATCATCGGACAGAAGTGGACCACCATCACCGTCGCCTTTGGACGCTTCACCACCGCTTTCAGCTGACTGCAGTCTATTATCTTCATCACCCTCGGCCTCTACACCGCCGCTATCAGCCTTCAGTGGACAACCATCACTGTCAGCTTCAGCTACTACATCACCGTCATCAGCCTCCACGTCGTTTGATCATGTGTTCTCTTCTGCTTGTCCAAGGGAAGAAATATTGACATGTAAACTTCCTGCTGTTGATTGCAGTGTAACCGTGCAAGAAAATGTGCTGGTGAGAGTACTGGACAATTTCGAATACACTAACGTCACAACACTCCAGAAACGTCCTCCAGCATGCGTAGTAAATGATGCTGTTTCTCTTATCAGAGAAATAAGGAAGGAAGTTGACGATAAAGCATTTATCGACTTAGAAGACGATGTAAATGTGGGCGTGTCAATTGGAAAACTTGGCGTTTTCTCAAGAGCTGGTCTGGGACAGCTTGAATGGCTAGCAGAGGTTGCCAAAATGTAGTGCAATTCGCAAGAAGAGGAAAGGTGGCTGATGCACTCTACAGACAAGTTAGACGATGAAACAAGACAGAAATACGTAATTTGCTATATAAATTTCCTCTGAATCATTTAGTCGCTAAGGAAGGCAAATATTCTGTAAATGTACGGGCAATCAGCAAACTTGCTCGAGAACGTTACATTGATGACACTGTAATTGACACAGCAATTTCCAGATTGCAGCGTAAATGTGATTTAAACGATTATTTACTCTGTCTTCCAGCGGTAACCAGTCAACTCGCCGACGGACCAACTCGCCGACGCCAACTCGCCGACGTATAAAATCGAGTAGAGACGTTGGCAAGTTGGTCGTCAATCCAATACAACTTATTAGAAGTTAAACATACAGAGAAGTAAACGATATTTAGTAAAAAAAACACTGGCGAACATTGGTGAACATCAAACAGAAGCTTAAACATCGGTGAACATTGGTGAACATCACCAATGACTATAACGAACGAGTTATTGTGCGACAACAACACCGTAAAGACTCATCTTGTCAATCGCTCAGATTTTTTAACGAAAACTTGGCTTTCTAGACGAGATCTTTAGTAAAATGCAATTATTTTTATTTGCAACAAAGTTTATAAGGATCTTAAGGCGAATAAAGCGAAGTAAACCTCACCAACGACTCTAACAGCTTCAGACGCGAACGAGTTATTGTGTGACAACACCGTTAAGACTCAGCATGTCAATCGCTCAGTTTTTTAACGAAAACTTGGCTTTCTAGACAAGATCTTTAGTAAAAAGCATTTATTTTTATTAGGCAATTACAGAGTAAGGTGTTTGGATTATGGGAGAAATATGAAAATGGTGAAAGAACAGCGGCCCAATTATTGAAATCAATGTCGAGATTAAACGGACCTACAAGAGCAGAGTAATTGCATGATATACATTACTTTCACATGTTCATCTGATCTTTATAATAAATGGAATTTTATCGTTTTTATCGTAAATCAAACGTTCTCGATCATGAATAAATCTTTCTTTAAAGTTAAAAAAAAAACATGTGGTTCCGCGTGGTTGCTATGGTTGTCACACAATAACTCGTTCGCGTCTGAAGCTGTTAGAGTCATTGGTGAGGTTTACTTCGCTTTATTCGCCTTAAGATCCTTATAAACTTTGTTGCAAATAAAAAGAAATAATTTTTACTAAAGATCTTGTCTAGAAAGCCAAGTTTTCGTTAAAAAATCTGACCGATTGTCATGAGTCTTTACAGTGTTGTTGTCATACAATAACTCGTTCGTGTTTGAAGCTGTTAGAGTCATTGGTGATGTTTACTTTACTTTATTCGCCTTGAGATCCTTATAAACTTTGTTGCAAATAAAAAGAATTGCTTTTTACTAAAGATCTTGACTAGAAAGCCAAGTTTCCTTTAAAATCTGACCGATTGTCATGATGAGTCTTTACGGTGTTGTTGTCACACAATAACTCGTTCGCGTCTTAAGTTATTAGAGTCGTTGGTGAGGTTTACTTCGCTTTATTCGCCTTAAGATCCTCATAAACTTTGTTGCAAATAAAAAGAAATGCTTTTTACTAAAGATCTCGTCTAGAAAGCCACGTTTTCGTTAAAAATCTGAGCGATTGACATGATGAGTCTTTACGGTGTTGTTGTCGCACAATAACTCGTTCGCGTCTTAAGCTGTTATAGTCATTGGTGATGTTCACCAATGTTCACCGATGTTTAAGCTTCTGTTTGATGTTCACCAATGTCCAATTTTTTTTTTTTACTAAATATCGTTTAATTTTCTGTATGTTTAGCTTCTAATAAGTTGTACTGGATTGACGACCAACTCGCCGACGTCTCTACTCGATTTTATACGTCGGCGAGTTGGTGTCAGCGAGTTGGTCCGTCGGCGAGTTGACCGTAAACCCTTCCAGCGCACACTATTACCTGGCTCAACACTGGAGAGAGAAGCTTTATCCAGCAATGTTTTGAAAAAATGTTGCAAAATGTCAAGCCTGGCTTATTAAGCTTGGTATTGGTTCCGGTAAACATGGACAATGTACATTGGGGACTAATGGTCCTCGATGTAAAAAACAAAGAAGCGTATTTTGATGATGGCCTTGGATATTCTTTCTCCAAAACTTCTTATGTCTTTCTTATCATGAGTGAGCTTCAGTCCAAGTTTCCAGACTGCGATGACTTTTCTCTGGATGACTGGCGTAATGTAAAAACATTCAAAAGGTTTGGAATGCCTAGACAACCGACAGATGGCCAGCTAATTGGAAGCGGCAGTTGTGGCATTGGGTTTATTCTAGCGGCCCTTGATTTTATGACCTCTTGACAACCTCAAGTTGTTTCACGGTCGTGGAACTTCAGTGAGATGACAGCACACAGGAAGGACATAATGAAACTGCTTGCTTGCAGGTAGTTTGTTCTCTTCGAAGCCATAAGCCAGCTACAAGTTTGGCCAAAACGTTTGAGACACTGCCGCGAAAAGAGAAATTTTCTTTATGCTCCCTTATCCAATTCACTAATTATCAGTAATTCTTACCATTAAACTTTTGTATCTTTTAATAAGTTGAAAATGTTCGGCTACTTCCATGTTAAGCAGCAAGACTCTCAACAAAAACCTTATTCCAAAATTTTCCCTTTCAGTGAATCGCAACGGAACATAGTAGCTTCAAATTTATGACGTCAGGTTTATGACGTAACTTTATAACATACTATTTACACTGGAAAAATCAAATGTACAGCTGTAAAGCTAAAGATGACATGAGAATGTCGTGCAAATTTAAAAATGTTACTTTTTTAACTTTTTGTTACTCTGTTGTTTTACCACTGTTTAATTTTAACGTCAGAGTACTTTTCAATCACCAAATGTTGTCAAGTAAGTTGTATAACTAAGTTTTGATTTGTTTAGCGGCCAGTGGATGGTTTCTTTACAAAAATTGTCTTCCTTACGATAAATAAATATAGCAAGATTCGCTGTTACCACATGGTAGTTCTTATTAAAACAGTTTCTCCACTCGCGTGTGTTGGGTAAGACATGGTTATAGCCAACTTCAATCCTCTGGTTGGCATTCTACCAGCTCATATCCAATGCGTACTCGTGGAATAATTGTTAAGTATTTCTGTTAGATTATGGAATGGGAGAACCTGGAAAATGATGTTATTCCCTCACGATGCTACCTTTCATTACTATTATCAGAATACCCTTTCCATCATAGCGGCTATTCGGCTATTTTTTTAACGTAAGAATACCCTCTTTGAATGAACAAACAAATAATTGTTCAATAAGTTCCAAATTTATTCATCTTCCATTTTTTCTTTTTTTTTCGGGGGGGGGGGATCATTTCAAATAATATGGAAATGTAATACGGAAACAAAAAGCAAAAGGGGGCAAGAACCAATGATTCAAAAAAAAAAAACTGTAGCGTACTTATTCAACTTATGTAGTTCAGTCGATTAACACACTCGCAGGCATTCCTACTGATCGATAACGTTACCAAGTGTTTTCACTTCGCGTGTGAAAGCTTGCCTTAGTGGGAACTTTAGCATCATATAGTGGGTGGGGGAGACTACCGCGAGCGGGCTTTGGATGTGTCCTATTTCAGTCGTGTACTGGTTGAAATAAAAAAAATGCCGTATGATAGACGGCTGGCTTTTAAAATAGACTAATTTAGCATGAAGACGCGGTCTTCATTTAGGACGTCGAGCTCGGTATAAGGGCTTGGTACCGAGTGAAATTCCCACGTCCTGAAGTTCTGGCGTCGCGTTGTGGACGTGAAACCAAGCAGTTTGCCGTCTTGTCGAGAACGTAAACTTCAACTCGCCTCAACGATGGAAAGTGCACCGAAAAAGTAAGTAAATTAATTGATTTGTGTGGCAAACAAAATTTTTGAAGTCTCTTAAGTATTAATTCGTCCCTTTTTGTTAGAGTTGTGATGAGCTGGACGAAAAAAAAGGATGTTTTACTCATGAGAGAAATGGCCGCTCAAGGGATTTTTCAATTCAAGTCTGGAAGCCGAGAAAGAGACACTGTTTGGCAAGCTATCGCCAAAAATCTGAATGGTCACAAAGATCTCTTTCATTCTGTCACTTCGAGAGGTGTTAGAGACAGATTTACTCTGATTTTAAGAAGGTATAAGGCGAAAAATGCCGAAGAACTAAAAAGTACCGGCGAAGGTAGCGAAGACGAACTAAGCGAATATGATTTACTACTGGAAGAGTTAACTCACTTAAGTGAAGAGTCCGACAAGAAAGCTAATGCAGAAGCCGAAAGTGCCAAAGAAAAAATCAGTGCAGAAAGGAATTGGCTCTTGATATAAGGAAAAGAGCAATGGAAACAAAGGGCCAAACTTCAAAAAGAACAAAATCTGATGAGCTCCAGGACGACGAGATCAAGGAAAGAAAAAAACGAAGAATTGGAGGGGACACCTTGGCGTGGCTGGAAAAAAAAGCGGCCCGAGATTTGAAGTACAAAGAGCTCCAGCTTGAAGAGCAAAGAAAAGAAAGAGAGTTCCAGCAAAGAGAAAGGAAAGAGCAGATGGAGCTTATACAGAAGCAACTTCAAATGCAAGGAGAAAGCCAAAAGCAACAGCAACAACAACAAATGATGCTCATGCAGCAGATGATGAGTATTATGCAACAGCAGCAACAACAGCTTCAGCTTTTCACTTCAAAACAGGATAAAGACTAAACTTCAATTTACTTTTGCTTATGCATTGTTAAAAATAAAGTTTGAAATGATGTTTGCATTATGGTTAGTACCATTATAAAAAAATTTTATCTTTTGTTTTTGAGAGAAGGTACAACATTGTTTACGCTTTGAAAATGTTGTTTAACTTTTTGAGAGCTCGTTTTAGTCATAAACTGGGGTGAAATAATCCTCTTAAAGGAGTGTTACTTTTGATTTAACTCTCATCATTTAGTTGAAATTACCTTTTCTCGTCATTTATAATTGTTACTTGGTTATGCATAATTTAATGTGACCATGGCCTGTTGATCCTGAACACTACATAATTATAGGCCCTTAAATTTTGGCTTCCAATTTTCATATTTCAAAACATTATACAGCTGGTACTGAAAAGGAATCAGTTAATGGGGATGTTTTAGTAATAAAATGTTTGATATGTGGATTGTGTGCTGTTGTATTTTCAAATAAAAATTAAAACATGCATGTATTTTTTCTAGTCAGTTTACCTATAGTGAGTGACACAGTTAGTCCAATCTCACCATTTATTTAATGCAGAAGTCAAGAGATTTTATGTTTAACACTAGTCATGTTCGTCTTGGACGTAAATGCTAATGGTGAGCTTGTGCTATGTTAGTGCTGTTATTAAAAGTCCTCTGGTAAAATTGGTACACATGAATTTTCTCTTTCCTACCCCTAACAATATTAAAGTTAAAACCAAAATAATCTTAGGTACAAAAGACATTTTTGCCAGCAACGTTAAGGCTTACTTTTGAACCCTATAGGGTGTTTTATCATTGAATGCATCAATTAAAGAATACAGTGACAATGATATTTAATTATTTTTATTCCACATTGCTTGAATACTATGTTGCACAAAATGGTGTGGAAAGCTAAGACTATTTCTCACAATGTATATATGAAACAATTTAAACAACAATGATTACACTTTTCACTACTTAAAAAGACCTGGCTATCAGCAGTGTCTCAGTGTATCTTTACATCGAAACACAGTTATCTATAATGAAAATAACCTTTGAACAACATTAACCATCAGAAATATCGTAAACAACACTCGTGTATATTTTACCAGAAATAAGTTAGAAGGTCTGGGGAGTCAACACCAAAATAATCCAAAATGATGTTCCCATATAGGCATGTGTGGGCATTTTGAAGAATTCCACAAACCAGGTAAATTTTGCCAACAGGGCTAAGGCCAATCTTTAGCTGTTTTTGGAACTCAACAAACTTGTAGTAATTTGAAATGCAGCCAAACATCCATTCTACAGCTACTCTGACTTCACTCATATGATCGTTGAATCTTGCCATCTGTGGGGTGAGGGGAACATTTCTAAATGGAGCTTGTAAATGGATGCCTAAAACTGAATCGCAAAGAACCACAAGCACTACAACTCAGACAAGCCATAAATCAACCAGGGCTACATTTAGCGAATGTGCAGACAACAGAGTTCCAGAAGAATTGAAGAAGAGTTTACGACTCCATTCACGATTGAAGATGAGAACAAAAATAGTGCGAAGACAAGAGAAGTTGCAACTCAAACCGATTTGTTTGAATCGAAGGAGGCAGACATTCAGACTGATGCTAGTGACGTGATCACCTTGATTAAGCAATATGAAACAAAAATAGAGGAGCTAAAAAGTGAAATAGAAAGGATTTCAAAGAAAAATGACTGTTTACAAAGTAAACTGTTCTCCATTGATAGATTTTGTGCTAAGGATTCTACTATATCCTTCTGCACTTCGCTTCCCAACAACAATGTTCTAATGGAAATCTACAATTATCTAGACCCTGGAGAACAAGGAGAGAACGTCAGATACTACATTTACTCAAAGTCTGCCGTTCCCCCAGATATCTGCGATCAAGGGAAAGGAGTAAACAAAACAAAAAAGGGAAGGCCAAGACTTCTGAGGCTAATTGATGAGTACTTCCTTGTACTGTGCAGGCTGCGGCAAGGTTTCCTTGAGGAACATCTGGGTCATTTATTTCACATGTCAACACCGACCGTTAGCCGCATAGTTATGACTTGGATAAACTTTATGTATTTAAGACTTGGTGTAATCAACATTTGGCCATCAAGAGAGGTAGTTGACACCACTTTGCCTGAAAATTTTAAGGCAAAATACAAATCAACAAGAGTAATCATTGATTGCACAGAAGTAAGGTGTCAAATGCCCAGCAGCCTACAACTAAATGGAGAACTTTTCAGCACTTACAAGAATCATACTACTCTTAAAGGACTGATAGGAATTTCTCCAAGTGGGGCTGTAACTTTTGTCGGTCAACTTTACACTGGGTCAATTTCTGACAGGGAAATTGTTTATCGCAGTGGATTTTTAGACTTACCCTTCAATGAAGGTGATTGAGTTATGGCAGACAAAGGCTTTACAGTAGAAGATTTGCTACCCTTGGGAGTTAAGCTCAACATCCCTCCTTTCCTCTGTAGTTCTAGTCAAATGCCTGCCAAAGAGGTTGTTCGGACCCAGGACATAGCCAGTCTTAGGATTCATGTAGAAAGGGTCATAAAGAAGATCAAAAACTTTCATATATGGGATAGGGTGGTTACTCTAAACCAGCTAGGCCTTGTGAATCAGATGTGGGCAGTATGTGCTATACTTTGTAATGCTCAGCCTAGTGTAATCTCAGTATAGATCGTGTGAAGATGCCCATACCTGCAAAACCAAATCTAATATCAAAGCAATAGCTAGTCAAGATTGATATTAGCTTACTTTCTCTCTCAAATGGTTATTGTCTCCACTCTATTTAAACACAAAAAAATTTTTAATGAGGACCAAATGACATGAAAACAACTTTTGAAAGAAATGAAATGTTCTGTTTGTAAATATCACTGGCTATAGACATTTATATCAATATTTGCAGTTCAGTTGCATGTCTGAGAAAGAATACAATAATTGTATTTCTTTCAATTAAATAAAATAAAATATTAAAAAATACTGAGGTATTAAAAATATAATCATTGTTTTATTAAAATATTGAACATCAATAATATTTTACATCACATTAAAAGCAAGTATAGCTAGGAATCAGGTTTGAGTTTCAGACCGTGACAGTTCATTTCTGCGCTTCCTTTGGTAGGAGCAACAGAAACATGGCCAGTCCAGTGAAGTGCCATATCGTCTCCAGTGTGTGCAAATTTCGTCCTTCAACAAACCGCACAATACAACAAGAATAACTTCTATGGTGGCCAGTAGGAACAAAACTGAATCACAAATCCTGAAACGCTAACACAAAATTTAAAACATAAATACAAGATATAAAACAGTAACACAAACTTGAAACATGAAACACAAAACCTAATACAGTAACACAATACTTGTATCACAGACACAAAATCTCAAACACTGGCACAAAACATGTCACACAATTGCGAAAAACATAAATGCTGCCACAAAACTTGAAACATGAAACACAAACCTAAAACACAGTAAAAAAGAATGATAGCTCCCATGTTCGGCTGTCGGTAACCTGTCAGCCAACTCTCGGCCGATAAGATACCAACACATTACCAACAGCCGCTGACAGTGTTAACCAGATCATACATACCAATTTTACATGTGACATAGCTATTTAATGGGCCTGCAGTTCTACATGTCAAATACAAAATATGTCAAGCCATGCTTATTTTTCACCCTGCCTTCTGGACGCTTTATGGTGTGGCTTGTAAATCTGTAGGTGTGATTTTTTACAAATGTAGGATTTTTTTGGGCAAATATATAGACAGGTTTTACTTGGTTAAATTGTAAAATTCCCTGATGAAGTGTGTGCTAGTCACACAAAATGCGGGAGAGTAAAAAAGTTTTACAATTACAGTTGGTAGAGTGCTGCTTACTAGTTTATTGTTTAAAAATTGTTTGATCATCAACAAACCATGTTTAAGTGCAGGCTACAGCAGGCCTAAGCCTGGTCATAAATAAGCAATAATGAATTTCCAATATTTAAACCATATATTTTTTTGCAAATCCGCCTGTACACCTGAAACGTTGGCAATGTAGAGTAGCATGACTAGTTGATACAAGACTTAAAACACAAATCGTTCACATTTACACAATGATGTGCCTCTCTATATATTTCACTTGCAGATTACTGTCAGACTTGTGCACCTCAACAGCAAAAATACCGAATTCAAGATTAAAAGAGCCTCCATGTTACCAATTTGTGTGCGCAAGTCAGCAACACATGTAACATAGTCATAGTCAGCGGTCAGCATGGGAGTCAGACGTGCTTTTCCTCACTCTCTCAAAATTCTCCTCTTTTTGACAATTTTTTGCGCTAGAGACTTGTTGCACCTCAAGAGATGTTTAATAACCGAAGTGAGTTGCTTGTCTCCACGATCTAATGGAAAGTACTTGGCGGATGGTGAGATCACCAACTTGTGCCACACTTTTGTAAAGTGTTCTGGTTTGGGCAGCCATCTTGGTTGCACGCTTGGTTGCAACCTTAATTGTTCCCAAGCGTAAGAAGCACTTCTTCCTTCTCAGAATCTACCATCACTGCAATTCAACTGCTTCTTTTCAACTGGATAATTTAGCCCTCTGTGGAGATGTTCATCCTAATCCAGGTTTTGACCCTGAAGTAAGTTTAATACAGGACAGAAATATGCAAACTATAAGTAAACGTAAGAACATGCTGGTTCATTTAAATGCAAGAGGCCTTCTTCAACATATAGATGAATTGAGATTGATCTTTAGCAAAGTATTTCCTCCCATCATCGCTATAACTGAAACCTGGCTGGAAAATTCTATCAAAGACTCTGAAATGGCAATTCCTAATTACTCAGTGGAGCGTTTGGACAGAAAAGAAAACCGTCGTGGAGGAGGGGTAGCGCTTTATTTACTGGAAGACCTAAAATATACTTGAAGAAAAGATTTGGAAGAAGACTCGGAAGCTATTTGGATTCATATACAATTATTCAAAACGAATTTCTTGGTCGGATGTGTTTACCGCGCCCCAAACGAATCCCTGGAGATTTTGGATTATTTGGATGACTTGCTGAGGTATGCCACTCGAAAGAATGTGGAAGTCATTATACTGGGTGACCTGAACTGTGATTATCTTAATGACTCCCTTGATAAAACAAAAAGATTATTGGAATTTCTTGCTGCTAATGAACTAGAACAAATAATTAAAGAACCCACTCGTGTTACTTGTAACACAAGATCTCTTATTGATTTACTCGTTACGTCTACCCCAAGTCTGTTCAGGTCTTCAGGAGTTCTTAGTACAACTATAAGAGATCACTACCCTATTTTTGGACTTATGAACGGCCCAACAATTTGTCCACATAAGCATCGCATCTTGACAACGCGGACTTGGAATGACGAAAGTAGGAAAAATTTCATCAATGACTTAAAGAAAACTCCTTGGACCTTTCTTGAGTTTTTCGATGACATGGAGGACATGTATTCCGCCTGGGAGTGCTTGTTCATTCTTGCTCATTAATTGATTTCCCACTTTCCTATCAAAAGGAAAAGACTCTGAAAGCAAACGCACCCATGGTTAGACAACTCTGTGCTACAAATGATGAGAACCTGGGACAAGGCACATAAAAAGGCCATAAGAACTGGTCTCACTGAAGACTGGCAAAAATATAGGCGACTCCGTAACCAAGTAACTAGCAGTAACAGGAAAAACAGAAAAGCCTATTTTAAGAATAAACTTCAAGAAAATCGAGCTAACCCTAAAGCCTACTGGAATACACTTCATCAAGTCCTTCCATCAAAGGATAGGAGCACCAAGATTGAAAAACTATTGATAGATGGTAACCAAGTAACTAACAAGACAGCTATAGCAAATTCACTAAATCAGTATTTTACCACGATTGCATCTACATCGTTGGCAAATCAACCTCCCCCAGAACCGTAACCAATAAAGCCATCGCCATCTAAGCTCTTCAAGTTTAAACCTTTATTGGATTCAGATGTGTATATGGCTCTGAAGACAATAAACCCCAATAATTCCACTGGTGCAGACAACATCTCAGCTAAGTATTTGAAGATCACTGCACCCACAATAGTGGAACTTTAACCAAGATATTTAACCAATCGTACAATTGTGGCCGATACCCATCTGCATGGAAGATCGCAAAAGTAAGTCCTGTTTTAAGGGGGGGTCAAAGGCAGAATGCGATAATTACAGACCAATATCTGTGCTTCCGTGTATTTCTAAGATACATGAATCTCTTACAAACAAGGCCCTTGTTAATTATGCACAAGAAGCTGGTCTGATAAAACAACACCAATTCACCTTTAAGAAACATTCATCAACTATGGTTGCCCTAATTCGAGCTGTAGATTCATGGAAAATGGCTATTGACAGATCAGAAAAAGTAGTATGTGCGTTTTTGGATTTAAAGAAAGCCTTCGACGTTGTAGACGATAATGTCTTGCTACAGAAGCTTGCTCAACATGGTGTGACTGGCAAGGAACATGAGTGGTTTGAAAGCTATCTGTCTGGAAGACTCCAGTTTGTCTCATGTGATGGAACTAATTCCGAACAATTGATGATTACCTATGGAATACCGCAGGGTTCTGTGCTAGGCCTGACTCTTTTTAATATTGATATAGATAGCATTTCAGATGTTTGTGATAGCTGTGATATTGTATTGTACGCCGACGATACAGGAATTCAGACCAGCTCTAAAGATGTTAAAATTGCTGAACAGTATGTAAATGAAGATCTTGGAAGAGTTACCGATCGGCTCAGTACTGATGGTCTTATCTGCAATCACAAGAAATCCGAAGCAATCCTGATTGGATCAAAGCACGCACTGAAAAATGCTCCAGACTTACAAATCATTATGGATGGGAGGCTACTGAAACAGTGTGAAGACTTCAAATATTTATTTACCCATAGTAGACTATGGCTGTATCGTATGGGGGGACTGTGGAAAGAGCAACTCACAGCATTTAGAAAGGTTACAAAATCAGGCCATGCGTACTATCCTCTCTACAAATCGTAATGCATGTTCTCAAGAAATGCGTAGTAAGCTTTCCTTATTATCATTGGAGAGTAGATGTAGATTCCTAAGACTTAATCTTGTTTTTAAGATTATA